ACTCCTGCTTTATTGCCAGAAAGGTTGAAAACCCCATTCTTATTATGCTTGCCACACGGTGTTAAGGTTGTTGGCGGCCTATCGTCTTGGGCAGAAGTTATCTCCGGACATCCAGCCACGTTTCCTCTCGTCGATGAATAATACCCAAAGTCCGCTAAGCAACAGCCAAAAACTTCCTCAAACGCGCACCAAACTATACAGTTCAGTTTTGGGTTTTTTCGGTAAAGTCACGTAGGTAAAAAATAAAAATAAAATAAAAATCACGACGTTTCGGAGGCAACACAAGCCTCCGTCTTCAGGTGGAACCGTCACAGCACGCTTGCTGTATCAAGTAAGCGAGCGTGTTGAGCGTGCTGTGAAGACGGAGGCTTGTGTTGCCTCCGAAACTTCGTGATTTCTATTTAATTATTTATTTTTTACCTACGTGATTTTACCGAAAAAACAAAAATATGAATCCTTGCAGTCACGAAAGCTTCAAATCTAGAATTATACGGTTCAGTGTTTTACACACACACACACGTACCACACGTGCAGTGCTCACGTACCAGTTGCTTGTTATTCTGTTTACAACAGCATAGAGCGAGAGAAATTACTAATTCGCAGCGCTAATGATGAGCGCGTTACGAACCACGGAACCTGCGATGAACGGGCGGCACGGGATTACTCGTTAGAAACTCAAAGTCACATTGCGGGGTCTTACCACTCTGCACGTTGCCGCAACACTAACACGGTGACCTACACACCACATGCCGTGTCAACCCACACGAGTAATACCACGTATTCCTGTACAGGGGAATCGAGTTCAGGTCCATACGGTGTACGGCCGTTTCAATACGGGCTAAATATTTTATATTTTATGTCTATTAGTTTGTGTGTTCTCCCTTGTTATGGGACTTTGTAGGAAGAACTTTGAGATGTATAAGGGGCACAGGGTGACCAGTAAGGTTTTGACTTGTTCTGTAATAAGGTAGAGCAATGATAAGGGGTTGACAGGTATGTAGTGGTGAGTGTAGTAGTGGTGAGTGTACTAGTGGTGAGTGTAGTGGTGGTGAGTGTAGTGGTGGTGAGTGTACTAGTGGTGAGTGTACTAGTGGTGAGTGTAGTGGTGTGGCAGTGGTGAGTGTAGTGGTTAGTGTAGTAGTGAGTGTAGTAGTGAGTGTACTAGTGGTTAGTGTACTAGTGGTTAGTGTACTAGTGGTTAGTGTAGTGGTAAGTGTAGTAGTGATGAGTGTACAAGTGGTGAGTGTACTAGTGGTGAGTGTACTAGTGGTGAGTGTACTAGTGGTGAGTGTACTAGTGGTGAGTGTACTGGTGGTGAGTGAACCAGTGGTGAGTGTAGTGGTAAGTGTACTCGTGGTGAGTGTAGTGGTGAGTGGTGGCAAGTGTACTAGTGGTGAGTGGTGGTAAGTGTACTAGTGGCGAGTGTAGTAGTGGCGAGTGTAGTAGTGGCGAGTGTAGTAGTGAGTGGTGGTGAGTGTGGTGGTGAGTGTAGTGGTGAGTGTAGTAGTGGTGATTGTCTATTTTTAAATCCTTTAAATTAAGTTCGCTTGCTTGCTTACGACCGTGTAAATCTTGCGGTCGTTTTTTAACCCACTTCCCGTGATCCAATCGAGCTGACATTTTCCACACAGACTCGTTGTGCGTGACAATTAATGTTCATGAAAAAATTTTCCCAAAATTTTACACTTTTTAGGCAAAATTTTTTATTTTACATTTATTCAAATAGAACTCATTCATGGCTTTGGCTGAACGTCAGTGTAGGAGCCCAGAGCATGACACCTCCACAGGCCCTGGCGGAGTAGCGCAGTTGGTAGCGCCCTCGCTTCCCATGCCAAAGGTCGCAGGATCGATCCCCGCGTCCTTTACAGGCGAATATATTTTAAAATCCTTTATTAAATCCTTTATATTAAGTTCACTTGCTTGCGTGCTTACGACCGTGCAAATCTTTTGGTCGTTTTTTTAACCCACTTCCCGTGATACAATCGAGCTGACATTTTGCATACAGACTCGTTGTGCGTGACAATTAATATTCGTGAACATTTTTTCCCAAAATTTTACACTTTTTAGGACAAAAATATTATATTTAATTACCAATTGCTTAATGGTGGCATGCAATCATCTGACCCATAAGTGGCAGCCATCTCAAGCCAGAGGACGAGAGGACTCGAGCCGCCACGCATATAAAGGATTTATAGTGAAAAACTGTTTTTACTGGTTATACTTGTTTGTGTTTCTCCCTTGCGATGGGACTTTGTAGGAAGAACTTTGAGATGCATAAGGGGCACGGGGTGACCAGTAAGGTTTTGACTTGTTCTGTAATATGGTAGGGCACTGCTAATAAGGTAGGGCACTGCTAATAAGGGGGTTGACGCAGCTCTGCTGCACTGAAGTGCCACGGGCCACGACATTTGTCGCTGAACGTAGTCCCGGAAGTGCTGCCCCTACATTCACGTTATCACCACGTGTCCTGTAGACAAAGACAAAGATCCCCCGTATAGCCTGAACAGACTGTTGGGGCAAGTGCTGTTAGAGTACACAATCACACACAACGCCTCCTACAAGATTGCAAACCCGATGGTGGGTTGATTATAGGGCTGAAGGATTTCGGGAAAATATCCAATTGCGATTGTTCTGAGAGATATTGCGATTTGATTTGAGATTTTTTTTTTAAGTCAAGCTTTAGTTCAATATTCACTGTGTAATAGATTTAAAACGTGTGATGGAGCATTACCACATGATACCATCACAATATGAACTGCTCTATATATTATAATGCAAGGATAAGAACTTAAAATATACGAATTGCTTCCAACATGTATTTATTAAAATGTTTTAATCGAAATAGAATACTCAAACATAGAACGATTGTTAAGTTAAATAAATAAAGTTACAATAATAAAAAAACAATTCCAATAAGTAATAGGACTTTTCAAATGCCAAAAAATTGCAGCCTTTGCGATTTGCTAATCGCACCGTTTCAAATTGCGATATCGATTCCAAATCGATCAATCGTTCAGCCCTCGTTGCATACTGCACACGCACGTGTCCTGCAGTTCACACAAATCACACACATGTCACACACAAGTCACACACAAAGCCTCGTTCAAGATCGCAACCCCCGTGTCCTGTGTTGCTGCACAAGCGTGCAGGCACAGTACACAGATCGTGTGTAGCACAGTACACAAAGGGGCCGTCCATAAATGACGTCACGCACTTGGGGGGGGGGGGTCAGACATTTGTGACGATGTGTGACGAGGGGGGGGGGGCATTTGTGACGATTTATTATTTTATTTCTATTATTATTTAGATTTTTTTACTATTTATTTGTATTATTTATTTTTTACCTACGTGACTTTACCGAAAAAACCTAAGAGTATGAATATTTGCCGTCACGACAGCTTCAAATCTAGAACGAGGTGGGGGGTGGGGGGTTTGAGAAATGTGACGTCACATCCAAATGCGCAACTTTAAATGAATATCGACAACACGTTCTACGGAATTAAATATACATTTCAATAAATGTTTTCTCCTACAACATCAGAGTGCAGCGCCACATTAAATACGCACTACAATGACAATAGTTTAAAGCGATTTGAAGCATGTTTTTTTTGGGTGGGTGGACAGAGCTTTGTGACGTCATATCTGAGGTGCGGGGGTATTTGTGTGACGTCGTGTGACGAGGGGGAGGGTCAAAAATCCTCCAAAATCGCGTGACGTCATTTATGGACGGCCCCAAATCGTGTGCAGTCCATACGACTGCAGGCATACGTCCCCAGTTGCGTAATCTCCGATGTAGCGTACACGGCGTGCATTGTGGCTATACAGGCTGCGTGGTAAAGGTTGCCCCAAATCATCACCCTCCTCTGTATGGCGGGGACTTGGCTTCTATCCAGCAGTGGAGTGTGGCAATGCTCCATCATATAGCCACACACACAGCGCGCACGCACGCACAAAGAAAATTCTAGGAACTTTATTTGACCGCTGCTACAATTCCCCACGTGTTGATCAAGACAATTCTCGTGGAGAGATTTAATCATTTGCGATCGGCAGGTCCGCGCTGGTGAAAGAGATATGTGTGTAACAAGCTCAGTGGGGGCGTTACCTGGGTTTAACATGATAACACAAAATGCGTTGTTTAGTTTCAGATGCGTGACGACATCTGTGGCACCACCACCAACTTCAACAGTGGCAGCAATAACTGTGGCAGCAACAACAACAGTGGCAGCAACAACAATTGTGGCACCACCAACTTCTACAGTGGCAGCAACAACAACAGTGGCAGCAACAACAATTGTGGCACCACCAACTTCTACAGTGGCAGCAACAACAACAGTGGCAGCAACAACATCTGTGGCACCACCACCAACTTCAACAGTAGCAGCAATAACAGTGGCAGCAACAACAATTGTGGCAGCACCAACTTCTACAGTGGCAGCAACAACAACAGTGGCAGCAACAACAATTGTGGCAGCACCAACTTCTACAGTGGCAGCAACAACAACAGTGGCAGCAACAACAATTGTGGCAGCACCAACTTCTACAGTGGCAGCAACAACAACAGTGGCAGCAACAACAATTGTGGCAGCAGCAGCAACAGCAGCAACAACATTCACCACCACCAGCTTCACGCTGCGTTGCAGCTGGCCTCACCACTTGCACAATCACCACGCGGCCACCAACCCACCAGAATCACCACCAGAATCACCACCACTTTCACAACCGCCACCATCCACCACCAACAACTTCACCCCTGCTCTTCCACCACCACCATCATCAACACCTCTTATTATAGCACGGTTGCCTACGCACGGTGCGAAAAAAGTCCAGCGTACAGAGACCCCGTACAAAGATCACCCGTGTATCCCGCACCGCCCGGTAGGGAGGGACACCAGTGCCCGGAGCGAGTTGGCAGCAGCAGCAGCGGTGCCTCTGAAAGGCCCGCCCGGTACACGAGGGGGTTAGGTGGAGGTAGCAACCACCACCACCAAGCTCATCATTACCTTTGCACCCGGGCGACGCTGGGCTGCGTCTCTCAGGCGAGGCCGCCTGCTTCGTAGCACCAGCAGCAGCAGGCGGGCCCGACCCCGCGTCGCCTGCCTGGGCCGCGCCGCCGTGCCCGGGGCCCAACCCAGACGACGGCGCCGTCTGAGCGGCGTGGGAAGACGCCGCCGCCGCCACCACCACAGCCGAGGCGACGGTGGCCGGCGTCGTAGCCACAGCGGAGGAAGCAGCAGAGGCAGCTGCTGCTACTGCTGCTGCTGCCCCCCCATTGTTGTGCGGGCAGCCCTGGGCAGCAGCAGCAGGGGCAGGGCTGGAGGCCGGGGCAGGGCCGCGTGTCGCGGTCGCGCCGAGCAGCTGGAAGGGAACGGTGGCGCGAAGGGGTTGGTGCTTGCGGCCGGGCTGCGGTGGCGGGGAGCCGTTGCGTCGCACACGGGACACTTGCGAGGAAGACATGGGCGCGCGTGTCCCTCGCGGTGAGCAAACGACGGGGAGGGGACGTGGGGGAAGAGGTGGGACGCGAGCTCGACAAAACAAGCGAAACTAAATAAAGTTCCCTACGACTTTGCGGGATTAGACTCGGCGTTTTGTGAACCGCGACGCGTCGTGCGCTTCGATACGTTCGCGTAAGTCGGTTGCCGTGTGCGCCAGTCCTTTGTTCGCCGTGGAGTCGCGTGATCGCGCATTTGCTCGGCACGGGCGACTCGTGCTGCCGCTGCTGCTGCTGCTGTGGTCTGGATCAGGACGGCCGTAAGATCACCTCCTACCGGGCGTCTCGCTGCGCCCGAATGAAGCCCGAACGGGTCCCTGACCGCGCCTCTTATACTCGGGCTGCCGCTCGCGCTCATTGGGCGGCGGTGTGGCACGTGACCGCACGGCGGCGCGTGTTGATTGGTACGTTGAGAAGAGAGAGATGGGGTGGGTGGGGGTGGTGAGAGCCCGCTGTCACGTGGATAAACAGCACGTGGGTTGGTGGTGGTGTGGAAGATCTGGCGTCAAGATCCACGTCAAATGTATTCATTGGCGAGTGGTGATGGTGGTGGTGGTGATGCTTCGTGATGGTGATGATGAGTTTGTGGTTGATACCAATGACTGTGATGATACTCGCGATTATACTCGTGATGGTACCAGAGGTTGCAAACGGGTTTTGATTCCTTACCCGTACCCGTACCCGGCTGCACCAGGGTCGCAAACGGCTACCCGTACCCGGCCGGGTACGGGTAGCCGGGTATCGGGTAGGGTACGGGTATCGGGTACCCGATTGCGACCTCTGGATGGTACTGATGATGATGATGATACGAGGGATTCTATTTGGTGATGGTGATCGTAGTGATGGTGATGATGAGTGATTATCGTGGTGGTTGGTCGTGGGTGTGATGGGACTAGGGGACGTCCATAAATGACGTCACGCACCTAGGGGGAGGCGGGGGGGTCAGACATTTGTGACGATGTGTGACGAGGGGGGGGGGGGTGAGAAATGTGACGTCACATCAAAATGCGCAACTTTAAATAAATATAGACAACACGTTCTACTTAATGAAATTGACTTTTTAATAAATGTTTTCTCCTACAACATCAGAGTGCAGCGCCACATTAAATACGCACTACAATGACAATAGTTTAAAGCGATTTGAAGCATGTTTTATTTTCAAAATGGAAATATGCTTTTTTTGGGGGGGGGGCAGAGCTTTGTGACGAGTGACGAGGGAGGGGGGGGTTAAAAATCGTCCAAAATCGCGTGACGTCATTTATGGACTGCCCCTTACCAGGTAAGGCCCGCTGAACTATGTAGCTCTTGTTCAGAAGTGAACTGGCTATCGCAAATGATAGGAATGGGGCTGGGTGGGGAGGGGCTGGTCACCCCGTGGTGCCCTTATAAAACTCAACGTTTAACCTACTCACGCCGGCTTGTGCCGGCCGTCACAGTCGGGCATATTTGTGGAATACACCACGCCGCCGTTGACCCTGGCCATTGACCGAGCAACCCAACGTTCCTACCAGCTCCCTCCGCAGGAATGTGTTGTTGAACATTTCTAGCAGTCAAATACTTTAGACGCATGGATGTCTCTAAATGTGTAGGGGAAAACGTGGATCCGGAGAAAAAAATCCACGCGACCACGGGGAGAACATGCAAACTCCAAATCAACAGCAGGAGTCAGGGTCGAACCCACAACCTCCTACATACCAGGCGATGCAGTTAACATCTCGTCACCGCGGCAATCAAACACAAGGGTCAATGATCATTTGTACTCTTACATTTCTACGGTTAATGACATTTCGTATGGATAAAAAAAACCCATTTAAGTCCTCGGCTTGTTACTCTAAAACCGTACATATTCATTTCACATTCAAGGTTTACATAATAACGACCATACGAGCTATGGAACACAGCGTTCAGCACTTCACATACACGCATCACACTGTGTGTGTGTATTATATATAGGCTGTTGTGTTTGCAGCTAATATAGTTTACAGCTCTAGCATACATAATAGATAAGGGTAACAGAAACCAGACGTCACCGTAGACTGCATCTTCTACGGCAGATGGATTCTCCCCCCACTCCCCTTGATGTTTGAAGGCGTGCACGGCAGGTGCGTCTCCTGGAGTTCAGATGGACCCTTGGGGTACATTGCACTGTGTGCTGTGTAGGGGCAACGCTAATCCGGTGTGTCCGTGCGTGCGTTTTGGAGAGCGGTGGTGTAGCGGTTAGCGCGCTGCGCTACGAACCTGGCGACCCGAGTTGGATTCCCTCTCACGGCCAACATCAGCGGCGATGATCTGAACCGGGCCTGGGTCTCTCCTAAGTCGACTCGGCCTCGAATGAGTACCTGGTGCGGTGTGTAAACATCGCCACTGGGGAGGCAAAGGCGACCGGGCGTGGTGCTGGCCACCCACCCCCTCGTGTGCAGTTCTGGCCTTCATAGGTGCTCGCTAACAGCACTTGCCCCTACAGTCTGTTAAGGCTACACGGGGGACAGTGCCAGATTATCGTAGTAGCAAAAGCAGCAAATGCTATGGGCCCGCACTTTCAAGGGCCCCGCGCTAAATGCTTTCAAGCTATCAATTCCGGTTCAGTGATTCTGCACTTGCTCTATTACTATAGTACTATACCGCCTTCGACTTTTATGAACGACCGGGTATTTAAGATTAGGGATTTGTCGTATTATCTGGCTGTATAGCAAATGAAAAAATACAATTAATTTACTATGCAAGTTAAAAAAAATGTGTGTTTTAATATTAACGTTTTTTTTAGGGCCCCTTTTACACATTCCTGCGGAGGGAGCTGGTAGGAACGTCGGGTTGCTCGGTCAATGGCCAGGGTCAACGGCGGCGTGGTGTATTCCGCAAATATGCCCGACTGAGGGCGGGCACAAGCCGGCGTGAGTAGGTTAAACGTTGAGTTTTATAAGGGCACCACGGGGTGACCAGCCCCTCCCCACCCAGCCCCACCCCTCCCACCCCCCACCCAGCCCCACCCTCCCACCCAGCCCCTTCCCACCCTCCCCACCCAGCCCCTCCCCACCCTCCCCTCCCCACCCAGCCCCTCCCCACCCAGCCCCTCCCTCCCCACCCAGCCCCTCCCTGCACGACGGACACAATAATCCCCTGTGGGCTCGTGTAACCAGGAGGTTCCTACCAGTATAGCATATGCTACAGGCCCCGCACCTTTCTTAATCCGGCACTGAGCGGGGGATCTTTGTCATTGTTTGCCAGCCAACCCATCGAGCCTTCGACACTTCACGTGGCGGCCTCAAAGTGCACCTGGCCTGGCACAGGCGCCGCGGTGACGTCACAACAACAACAGCAACAACAACAACGACGCAGCAGAGCGCCGAGCGGCTAAAACGCAGCAAAGTTGGCACAGTGGCGAGCTCAGTTGGCGAATCTTGGCAGTCATCTCGGTCAGTCAACCCATGGCGCCTGGGTCTGTTCCGTGACCTCCTGCCAGCGGCGAGGCTTCGACACACGTGGCATCTGCAGAACGTGAAGAACCAGTGGCATCTGCAGAACATGAAGAACCAGTGGCATCTACATCTGGCGAACGTAAAGAACCAGTGTCCTCTACATTTACAGAACGTGAAGAACCAGTGGCATCTGCTGAACATGAAGAACCAGTGGCATCTACATCTGCAGACTTAAGAACAAATCGACTTACGAACACAGACCCCTGGAACCCAACTCGTTCGTAAGTTGAGGAGTCCCGATACCAGTTTATACTGCCGGGTGCACGGTTGTGGGAGCGATTAAGAAACGTGCACTACCCTTGTTTCAACTGCTACGCCGGGAGATAGTAAAATGAAAGTTGTTCAAAACGAGTTAAGAAGAATAAGACAAGATAACGAAAAAAGGTGTCCGTTTTGTTGCCAAATCAAAGGGTAAAAAACTAATTATCATATTTTTCACTGGCAAATGAGGTTCCAATGGTGTACATGCTTACCCCGTGCTCTCATACTCTGATGGTGCATTGTCTTTGAGTTGTGCGCCTTTTGGCGTCATCTGGTCCAACACCATGTGAGACTAGGCTCTAAGAAAAGCTGTCTCGGGTGTGGACCATTCAATATCAAAGTACATACATCATCAGAGTAGTTTTTTGTTTGCATTCCGACCGCAGGTATTGTGGTCAATGCAAACACTACTCCTTGTAAAAAAGAGGTGTCAGTTTTGTCAGATAAAAGGGTAAAAAAACAATTATCAAGATAACGAAGTGTTAAATATTTTTTATTGGGAAAATGTCAAAACTGGGTGGTTTTTAACTTTTGCCGACAAAACTGGATCCCAAATGTCGAAACTGGGTGGTCTTGGGAAACGACAGGCATAACAGGGTGGTGCTTTTTGATATGACAAAACTGGGTGATGTTCAATGTGGACAAATGTCAAAACTGGGTGAAGAAGGTGTACGATTTAATGTATCATTTTGTACACGTTTAGGTCCTTGCGTTATTCATCCATATGTCGCCACAGATTTAGAGCGTTCCAAATGATGTTTCTCGTGGCTCATGTTCCATACCTTGCACCACAACTTCCCGTTTGCATACTGGCACAGTGTGCCAGCTCGCTACTACAGTAACACTTACTTGCCATATGTATACTGGCACAGTGTGCCAGCTTGCAACTACAGTAACACTTACAGCTCGCGAACATACACGTACTTGCCATTTGTATACTGGCACAGTGTGCCAGCTCGCTTACTTGCCGTTTGTATACTGGCACAGTGTGCCAGCTCGCTACTACAGTAACACTTAAATGCCATATGTATACTGGCACAGTGTGCCAGTATACAAATACCAAGTGTTTGGATGAATGGGGTGCTGGCACACTGTGCTAGTATACAATTATCAAGTGTATTTGACAAATGTCAAAACTGGGTGCACCCTGAGTGTCCAAAACTCAAGTTTTTGGCCACCCAGGGTGCACCCAGTTTTGACATTTGGGATCCAGTTTTGTCGGCAAAAGTTAAAAACCACCCAGTTTTGACATTTCCCCATTTTTTATTTTACCAGATAAGGGCCGACTGAGCTATATTAGCTCGTTCTCAGAAGCGACCTGGTCATCACAAATGACCTTTCAACGAAGTGGCTTATCGCGTGTAAATGTATAGCAGCCAAATACTTAAAAACGCGTGAATTTGATTTTAAATGTGGAGGGGAAAACCTGGAGGATGAGAAGAATTTTTTTCACGCGACCACGGGGAGAGAAACACGCAAACTTCAAGTATATCGAGACGTCAGGGTCGGGATCAAACCCACGACCTCCTGCACACCAGGCGAGGGAAT